GGTTGAGCTATAGGCGCCGAGCCCCTTTTACCCAATCTTAAAAACCCCCAACCTCTGGGCATACTGAGTTGGGTGGTTCCCTTGAGGTCAGCAGCTCTTTGCCAGCCTGAGCAGACACAGTACCCCACTTCCACCAAAAAGGAAGACAAAAATACTATAAATCAAGCCAAAACAAAAAAACAAACAAAAAATCTTACAGGATAAAATTGGGGGGGGGGGAACCAATTAATAGAGGCAGAAACACTAGCAAAAATGAAGTTCTTATTATTAAAGAAGGCAACAATGGAAAATTATATTTAAACTAGAAAAATAAAGGAAGAAAAGAAAAAATAGAAAAATCTAGAGGGAAATTGTTGAAATTTTAAAAAAGAAAGAAAAACAACCCAAAGCAGTATATATATATATATATATATATATATCTTGCTGAATATTGTCTGGGCAACAGGTGATTTTCTGGGGTATGAGATGTTAACCACAATGCTGATACAGCTATACGACATGATGGAGACTAGAGGCCTCTGCTGATTTCTTAAACCCCTCAGGATTGAGAGCCTAAAACTCTCCTCAGCCAGCTTAAAAGACCTTGGTAAGCAGAAGCTTTCCCAGGAAAGCACTTGTTGCTGGAATCTCTCCTGAAGTGGCTGCCCACTTATCCAGCATGCCAAAACTGGTCTAACTCTGTGCCCCTGAGGGCCAAGCCCTCCTACTGCCAGCCCTCCTGGCAAACACTGAAACCTCTGCTCTTCCCCAGAGTCTCAGTCCCAGCCTTTGGCGCTGCTCAGTCACTAGATCACTTGCCTAAGGTCTCCCAGCCCAAGCCTTGCTCTGTGACCCTGAGGGTGGAGCCTGCAGGGGCAGTTCTCCCACAATGGCTGCATACAGTCCAAGGCCAAACAATATGAGCTCCGTTCCAGCTCAGTGGCTCAGTCTGGGGCCCTAGACAATGCTTAAAGTCAACCACACTCTTGCCCGAGGTAGTTCCACCAAGTGCACAAGTCCAAAAAACAAAACAACCCTCAGGGAAGGCCTTCCCTGATTGCAATTTTGCTGCTGTTGTAGTTATAGCTGCGGCAGCCACAGCCTCAGACCAAATGAACACAATCACTTGCCACTTCTCCATTGCTTTTGTCCTCCTCCTGGGGTCCAGAAGTCTCTCACTGTCTCCCTGCATCCCCAGAGGGATGTTTCTGGGCAGAGCTTCCAAGCCAGAGGTGCCTGGAGTCTTCTCTCCCCAATCTCACCACGCCCAGTTGCAAAGAGGCTGTTATTCGGTTGCCATCTTGCTCACCAATCCAGGAGAGAAAATATTTTCATTCATTAAGAAGAAATTTATCGGCTCGGCGCCTATGGCTCAACCGGCTAAGGCGCCAGCCACGTACACCTAAGGTGGCGGGTTCGAATCCCCAGCCCGGACCCGCCAAACAACAATG